CACACACACACACACACACACACACACACACACACACACACACACACACGAGGGCATTACTTTGGTCAGTCATGGTGAAGAAAAAGTTGAAAGGCAAAGGTCTGTATTTACTGGTCTTTTTTATATACTTTGTTGTATGATACCAAAGATTTTATTATGATAATTATTTCTATTATTTGTGGTAAAGTAGTATGAATAACAGTCTGTAAACATATTTGGATTAACAAACATTTCTCTAAAGTTCTGCTGTAATTTCTGTAATTTTTCCCCCTCATTCATTGAATGAAGTGGTATCTTTGCCCTTTATGTTTGCTACTAGAAGTGCTGACAGTTTTAGTCCTCATAGACATATTTAGTCAGATGCCTATTTAAAGATCATTAGTGTACATCCAACACAAAACACGTGATTTTCTTTTCTGAAGACTTCACATAAACTCATATAAACTCACATTTTGTAGGACGCTCCAGTTTCCGTCTCCCTCTTTTCTTGCGTGGCATCATAAGATCGTCATCCTTGTCCTTCTCCAAGTCCTGATCCTCCCTGCCGGACAGGAAGCCATTCTCTTTGGAAGGACTTGGACTCGAACTCTGGGAGCTGTCCTCTGCTTGGTCTCTTGGGATCCTGTTCTCCACTTCCCTCTTCTCCTGTTTTGGGAAGCAGGCATCGGGCATCATGTCTCCATTGTGGACTTGGGTCATGAAGGACCTACACACCCCGGAGTAACTGTTGCCAACACTTAGACTCTCTGTGAGGGAGCCACAGCTCTCCACCTGCAAGCGAGGGAAGATGAGAATAAAATAGTGAAGAAKAGAATAGTGTTCCTTCTTCCCGACMWGCTAGTGCAACATGTTGGTCAATTCTTTTTCCTTTTTTAAAAAGACAATATAAATGAAACTGAAAAAGTTAGGCGACTTAAGGAAACCTCAAGGTCTTCTACTTCTTCAGAGAACACACAAGCACATGTGAAATGTTACATTTATATCTTTAATAAATATTTATTTTATATTAAACATATATTTTCGATGCTGTTTTGTTTTAACTTGTTTCTTGCTAATTTCTCCTATTTTCTGCAAACTTACTTTGCTGTTGAGCAACAAAGCTATCCAATCAGATTCTTTTCAATTCATGCCTCCACCTGTTTGAGGTGCTCATCGGTTAGGACTTCACTGTCGTTAGAAAAGGCTAAGCTCAGTCAAAATCTCTGCTGGATGAGCCAGTTTAATAACTGGCAGCAAAATTAACCAGTCACAATGTTTACGTACAGTGAGAGGCACTAAAACACGGGGCTTTGAGCCTTGCAGACATTTTTTTTTTATCACGTGAAGATTTAGGAAGCTTTCAATTGCAACCAGTAAATTCAAAAATTTTTAGGTTGATATTTTTCAATGTTACAGTTGTGTTTGGTTTCAATATATGGTTAAATGTTACTGAAACAGAAGGTTCTGTTGGTTACTCTTAAATTTCTGTCTTAATTTTTGAAATGTATGTTTCTATGTTGTAATTTAACCCAAGAGACTTGGTGAGCTGTAGTGCATGCTGGGGGGTCTTGGGACAGAAATGGGTGGAGTTTTTCAAATTATGTTTTCAGATGGGTTCTCCCTGTTGGTTTTTTTTTTTTGTTTTTTGTTTTTTTTTAACCCTGAGTTGGCATTTATATTTAAATTGCTGTTAGTAACTGTAGAAAAAAATGACACCTCAAGTCAGATGTTTTTGTTGTATAAAAACTGGGAAAGCACTTCATGTTCAGTAAGTTTCTGGTTTAGGAAACTGAAAGTAAAGTAATGTAGGCAGAATGTCATTCAACATTAGATTATCAGATTGCTATAAAATTATATGCAAGCTAAAGGCTTGGATCATGGATGGGCAACTGGCGACTTCAGTTAAATTCCTTTATTCGTTTCATTAAAACAAAACAAATAAATTTATATACAATATACAATAAAAGGAAAAATATATACACAGTATATACATATCAAAATCACATATAAAATGAAATGAAAGGCAGCAGAGAGAAGAAAAAAATCTTACATCTGCCCCTGTTTTCCCAAGAATAAATTCATATAATAAAAATCTATATTATTAACAAAACAAAAAACAAGAATATCGAATCCCTCTAGAACAACAATTTATATAGATACACATACTGTTYCGTATTTCTTTAACGATCGGCAGAGTTTTTTTTATTTAAAAAAAGCAGTCAATGCAGCTCTTAGATTTGAAAACTACAAAAATGCAGTGGTCGGCAGTGCTTATTCTAAAGTTAGTTGCGCAAATTCTAAAGCACTTAAAAATTTATTTAGGTGCACAAGTTCTAAAGCACTTTTGCCCTTTAGAACTTAGCAGAAGCTGTTTACATACAGTGCTTCTTCATTGTATTGACTTGAGACGGCTTTCTCCCTCCTCTGTTGAAGATAATGGTGTTCAAATTTCGATTAAATAATTAAATTAGCGCTACTAAGTTTTTAAGATTAGAAAGTGCAAATCCACACACAGTTTGAAAAAATTAATACAAGTCCAAAAAAGCGCAAACAAGAAATTAGGTCTGCAATTAGCGCTATAGGACTTTAGGGGACTAGTCCCCACCACTGCAAAAAGGTACCTGTGTCTCAGAGGCACCGAATTGGCTGTAATGACAAAGTTTGCTACTAGATGGTGCATTCAGCGCACCTTATTCTAGCTGTGAGGAAGAGACGTTTAGCTATGGCTAAGAACAGAATTACAAGGCAAACCTTTGTTGTTTAGTGTGCTTAGAGATCCATGAAGGATTATAATATGTCGCCACTACATCATGTTGCACAAAGATGAATATGAAAACTTTACTGAAGTCACAAGTCCATGAACGACAGAGACTGCACTCAAGCATTTTATGCCGTTGCACTTCAGCTTGCTATAGTAAGTGTTTATTTTAGTTTGCTTCAAATGTTTTGCATTCAAATTTATTAAACAAGAGTACAACTGTTATACATGCATTTGAGCATTAAATATGTTAAGTTACTGCTCTGCTTATATACACAAACATTATTAAAATTTTAGTTTTATTACAGTGAGTAATAAATATAACATGGATGATTTCAATATAACAAATCAACTCACTTTTTTAAACAAACCCTTTGATATTGTCACTACCTACAAATATTTTGGAATTACTTTGGATTCTCATTTGGCTTATCGCGATCATGTACGAGTCTTAACCACTAAGTTGAAACAGAAATTATACGTTTATTCAAAAATTAGATCCAATCTGACATCTTCTGTTTCAAATATCTATCTTCATGCCATGATACTCTCAACCAYGTCGTACTGTTTACCTGTTTGGTCTCTTACAACAAATGAAATCTTAGAACCCATAGTTAGGCTCTACAACAGGGCCTACAAAATTCATAAAAAACTTCCTGGTTGGACTCATCACTGTACAGTTCTTTCATTGTCTGATGCCTTGGCTTTTCAGAATAATGTTTTGTATAGTGGTATTAATTTATATTTTCAGATCTTCCAAGGTGCCAGTTATGGAACTCTCTGTGCATTGYTGCCCAAATCAAATTCTGGAAGTGGTCATTCAACTAGATCTGTTACAAAAGGACAACTGATATTACCAACTTTTAAAAACTGTTACGGCCAGAGGTCTTTCTTCTATGTTTATACTAAAGCATGGAATGACATTCCTCAAAACATAAAGTCCATTTCAAAACTACAGCCCTTTAAGAAGAATCTTGTCTGCCATCTGCTGGACACTTTTTGTTGTGCTCATATTTAGACATCCTATTTTGCAAATGCTGCCTTTTTGAAATTTGGTATGCTTGTTTGTCTTTGTGTCTATGTGTATAATGATGTGATTGTGATGCTGTAATTCTGAGTGTTTTATGTGCTGCAGAACAGGAACCTGCTGTAAAACAGCAATTATGCTGAGTCAGGCTTGATTTTTTATAATCTTTTCCTGTTAAATAAATAAATCAAATCAAATCAAATCAAGTGTGCAGCACTATGTGGCTCTCTGGTAGTGTCAAAAAAATTAGCTCCTTCCATCATTTAAGTTGCCCATCCCTGGCCTAGATCTTATGGTCACAATTTGAAGTGTCAGCTGGGACCTTAAAGATAATCTTTAACAGAACTTTAGCTTTCATACATGAAGTCAAACTACTGCTAAACTCTAAAGTTAATGGTAAGTGAGTTTCCCCATCACTCCTGTTAAACTACAAACTTCTAAGCGGAGCCAGGAAATCTGCTGTTCAGCCATTAAGTGGGAAAGGAATTATGCTACAGCTCACTGGTTACAGGAGTAGGTTTCCTGTATGCATGCTTTAATCATTACAGCAGCACAGAAAAATGTCAGGAATGTTGGCCGATTGACAGCAGAGGAGGTTTCCTCTCTGTCCACTTTGAAACATAAAGTACATCGAATTGGAACTGACAATGTTTCATCTTAGGATTTTCTATTTTTGTTCCTAAAATGTATTGGAAGACCAACCAAAAGATTTGTTTAAAACCTAAACATACATAACATTGTTTTCCTACAGCTGCCACAAACTAACCATTACTAAGAAGGTCATGGATTCTTTCATCACAAATTTGAGAGAAGTACTGAAGTTTTATCCAAAATATAGCAGTTTGGATTCCATGCAGGATAAGAGAACTAACAGTCAGGAATCTATATGTCATTCTGAACAGCTAAACAACTGATCAAATATCAGATCAGATCAGATTTTGCAGAGGGAACTGGAAAACTTAATGCGCACTGAAAAAAAAAAAGAAAAATAATTCTTCTAGACTTTCTTCACAGGCCGCAAAAATGCCTTTATCATTGTGATAAATGAGAACAAATTAGTTGCAAAATAAACTTCAATAATAAGCCACTGATGGTGTTGGATGAAAATAAACTACCAAACCACCACTTTGACATATCTTGACTTGCTTAGTAAACAAGATGCAGAGTGTAGGCTTGGGGAAATGCAAAGCAGACACAGAAACACATGAACGTGTTTCAGTGCCCAAAATTGTTACTGAAAGCATTATGCGACAGATCTTTGACCCAGTGAACAACATGCAGCGTCTGCCAGAGGTCAGAGGTCATTGTAAGTAAATCAGACAGGCAGACATAGGTCAAAGGCTAAACACTGACAAGCTAATCCAATTTAGAGCCGCTGCATTCTACTTAAACACCAGCTTTATTTATTTCCACACATGATGAATGGGTTATTTGCAGAGATAAAAACACACATTTCTAAATGTTTGTTTTTGTGACTGGTGTATTTAAGTTTTGTCATACATTATATATGAATTTAGACATGAAATTAGAAGAATTTAAATACTAGAAAACAATTTAAAAAACTGCTACCATTTTAGTAACTCATTTTCCATGCTCTATATATCAAAAATAAATTTGACTTTGCATCACAGTCTATCTAAACGCCTTGAAATTGGCCTCTGTCTCTTTAGGAACCTCCTACTGTTTCAGACAGTCCCACTTCAGCACATCTTCATAAAATTGATTCAATAGGAGGAGCGCTCTGTGGGGCAGGAGCTCGGCTGCAGACTAAGTTCCAGCGAGGATTTATATACAAATAGGGCGGTGCTTTGTACCAGGAAGCATTTAGGCAGCTCCTCCAAAAAGCAAATCAATTGTTCAGCTACCACCTTCTCAAGGATTTTTGATAAAAATGGTAGTTTGGAGATCGGTCTGTAGCTTTCGGGCAGAGAAGAGTCTAAATTAGTTTTTTTTTAACAGAGGACAGACAACAGCTGTTTTGAAGCAGTGAGGTGCAGAACCAGAACCAAGGGAGTAATTTATAAGTTTTACAACACTTGGGCCAATACAGTTAAAAATATCTTTAAAAAGAGAAGAGGGCAGGACATCAAGAGGGCTAGAGGACATTTTCATTCGACCCAAGAGTTCTGTGATGTCCTGAATTGTCACTGGGGTGAATGAGGACCATGTATCAGAGGTCACAGGAGGAGGGACCAGACAGAGGGATGGTGAGGGAGAGATTCAGRCCCTGATGCCGGCAACTTTGTCAATAAAATAATTTAAAAAACGATTGCAATCTGCATTTGTAAAATCACTTACAGCAGAAAAAGTAGGTGAAACAATGTTCTTGATCGTGTCAAATAAAAGTTTTGGATTTCTTCCTTTGGATTTGATGAGATTTGCAAAATAATTGGTCCTGGCAGTTTTGAGCATCTCCTTTAAGGAGCTGATCAGTTCTTTAAGATAGAGCCTGTGAACCTCCAGCTTGGTTCAACTTTAAGTTTAACTCTAACATACCAGCTCAACACTTACTGGAAATGTCTTGCRCTTTCTCCCAGGTTTTCCAGGTTTACAAGAGGCACTGTTTAAAGTCAACTTCTCCTCCTCCATCAGCTCCATGTCCAGGATTGTGCTCTCACCCTACAAAGAGAAAGAACACATAAACGTYCTAAATCTGAAGCATTCTGACTTTTCATAACATTCTCAATGTTGTGCTATGAATTTAAAGTAYATTTACACAAGATTTTTGCATAATAACAGATTTCCATTATGGTTTTTGAGTATAGAATGTTGTTCTGTGCATGCCATCAAGAYAATATAACTAGTGACATGACCAGAAGCTGAAGCTGAAGTAATCATGGATGAGTGCCTCCTAGTGGCTGTCTGTAGTACAATTTTTAAGTCCTGCATTTAAACAAATGGGATATTTACTTTACTAAAAAATAAAAACACTTCAGATATCTTGAATATAATTCTGACTACTAATAATTCTAATTAAAGATATCTTAATGTATTTAACGTATCACATCTAAAGATGACACAAAGTGGTTTGTTCCTATTTTAGTGGACTTGACTGTGTTTAGTAGCAGTCAGTAGAAGATAAGAGAACAACAGAGTGAGAAGAACCATTCTGTGTAGAAAATAATAAATCAGGAATTCAAAAAAGGAAAGAGAAAAAAGAAAAAGAAGGCATACAAACGAAAGGGTGTCAATTTTTAACCCAATTTTCTCCAAGAAAGATTAGTGTGTAGCTTAGCTACAGTGTTAGTCTCCATTTCACCAGCATTTAATTAGTAAAGGGCAATGTTTAGCAAAATATTCATATTTTTACTTGTCCTTTTTATTTTTTAAGCCACTTCAGTAGAAAACAGAACTTAATATTAGTTTCTTCATCATCAGTGATTTTTTTTAAATAAGTAAATCTAGAGAATAAGGAAAAGAAAAAGAAAACAGGAGAAATGTAATGGGAAGGATTGAAAAAGAAAATAGAAGATATGTGAGATGTACACCAAGAAAACAAGATTTCTCCAAAGGAATATTTAACAGTGACTGTGGAGACC